AAGGGATGTCAAACTAATTGTATAAAATGAATGTACTATTAATTTAATTCATATTATTTATACTCCGTCTCACAAAATCTATGAATCAATTATAGATGGTCAAATTTATTTTAAATTATATATACCAATAGATCCACAAGTACTATCCACCCTCGTTTTTATCTATTTATATATTCAAGCACTTTTAAAACCGATATAGGGTATGGTCATCATTTTGTCCAAAAATTATAGCTCCGGACATAAATGCAATTAATCGTATATCAGTCAGAATCAAGATTAGGAACCTACTCCAAGCCCACACCCTTGGACCTACCTATTTCAAGCATGTTTTTGTGCTATTCACCCACTAGAGGGGAATGTTCCAGCATTGGCTCGGGACCACTAGTTTGGTTAACAACTTGATGTGGGGTACCGCTATCGTTTTATCCAAAAGTAGCTTAGGCACAAATGTAATTCACCCCATATCACTATAAAATCCATCACTAGAATCAAGCTCGAAAATTCACTCCAAGCTTAGTTTGTCGAGTCCACCCCTATTTTATGCATGTTCCTACATTTTTTCCAATAGGCTAAAGGAGGAATCAACAAATCTTAGCAGGCACTTAATTTTTGGGCTATGTGAACACACTTTTTTAAGACGTGGAACTTTCTTCTATGACGGCAGGCACTGTGTCATTTCAAAAGTAGACAAGTCTTTTAGAACTGTTATTTTGTGAAACCAAACAAAAAACAAAGACGAGGAATTATTCCAGCTTAGGTAGCAACCGTTATTTGACTTAGCTAAAAATTTGAAGAATAAACGTGTCAATCTTCCAACATCCTAAACAATTTGAAGACCACGCCGTTTTCAAAATTGAGGACTGCAAATCAAATCGCTAGCTGGTTCTCGTCAATGTGACAAAATCATTGCTTATTTTTCAGCGTACTTATTATTAAGAAAAATGTTATTCATCCCCAGTGGGATGCATCCCCAATCTATGTGGATATAAATAATTGGTTAAATAATAGGTGAAATTAAATAACTTATTTAATTTCACATATCATTTAATACCACATTAACGCCATATAGACTGGAAATGCATCCCCAGTAGGGATGAATAGCATTTCTC